TAATTACAAACAAAAAATAATCAAAATAGTAATCCATATTTACATCCAATTAAAACTTGTAACTTTGATTTTTAAATTACAAATAAAATAATGCAAAATATAATTTAAAATTTAAAAACAATATTCTTACCCTAAAAGCTAAGTTTCTTGAAGCTAGAAAAATTGTGACGTCAAGAATGCATTGAAAAATAACTTTCCATCGCTTTGTTTCATCTCCAATTTGTTTTTCTAACTGATGCTCAATTGACTTTTGACTTTTCAAGTGAATCGTAGCTGTTTTCCATTGGAGATAACAGTTACGGTGAAAATCGCTTTGTTGATGACTTTTAACGTGATCTGAAAGTTTTCTCCAATTTCCATGTATACCTCCATTCCAAGACAACAAACTGGATTGAACACCGGGTCTGGTTAAGTTAGGTGATCCAAAAAGGGAGCAAGGGAAACAAAAGAGTGATGCCACAGCCTTACTCCAAACGAGCCAATCTCTTTTAACTTTTTCTCCGTTTCTTTGTTCCTCTAAAAAGATATAAGTTGGGAATTTGCGTTCTTTTTGATCTCTTGGAAAATTGCTAGGATTTGAAGAAGGTCCCATCAGAATTATATTCGTTCGATCAGTGTCTGATATTGATTTCCATAGTGCAGGATCGTTAGAGATTGGTATAGAAAGATCACTTTTATAAATTTGTTGGTCATTGTGACAATCAAGTACAAAATCCAACTGATCCTTTTTTAAATGTGATGATGTTTTTTGGGAGTCATCGATGTCATCGGCAAGAAAAAGTTTGTCGGAATTATGGTCTGGCAACTCATTAGAGTCATTGATACCGATCTCAATATCATTGAACTATAAAGAAGTATTAAACAGAATTATTCTAATTATTTTTTCATGAACGTCACAAGATTAAAAAATAGTTTAACCACCTGCTTGCCTTCGATTTTTGTCCAACGAACGCAATCTAAAAGCGTTTGTTTGTTTTTGCTTTCGTTTTTTTTTCCGAATCATCGCTCTTTTTCTCCCAGCAGCTCCAGACAGCTGTTTCAATCATGGAGGTCTTTGATTATTTATGCTAAAACTTATGACGATATAAAGAATTTTAACTTTTTAAATTTTAAAAATTAAAAACTTTATAATACTTTGGTGTTATTAATTGCAGAGAAAAAGTCAGTACAATTAAAATATCCACTGAAGATAAGTTTCTTGTCAAAATATAGTCGGAACGAAATGCAGGCGAGTCAAAAACATACATATGCACAAAAGTATCCACAGGGACGCAAGGTTTAAGCAAAAATAAGTTAAACTATCAGAAGTCAGGCTTTTACAAACGTTAAATAAGAAAAAAAAAATTTTAACGCTTTTTATTCTATCATGCGAACAAAAGGCCAATGAAAACGCCAACAAAAATTGCCTAATCTTTAAATACGTTATCAGCTAAATTTTTTATCATTTCAATAATTTTTTTTTAAGGCATGTGATGCCCCATAGACTGTGATGCCCGGGGCAAACTACTTCAATTGGCCCCCCCTCTTGGCGGCCCTGTATATATATATATATATATATATATATATATATATATATATATATATATATATATATATATATATATATATATATATATATATATATATATATATATGTATATATATATATATATATATATATATATATATATATATATATATATATATATTTTAAAAATTGGTTTTTCTGATGAGTCTTTATTGATGAAACACAGTGTTAAATGATAAAAAATTTTGCTAAGTGATTTTCTACTAATTTGTAATTGCTCTGTTCTTTTTAGAACATTGAGCACTCTTTTTGTAGAATACATTTTAAATTGTTTATATATATATATATATATATATATATATATATATATATATATATATATATATATATATATATATATATATATATATATATATATATATATATATATATATATATATATATATATAGCAGATGATTTTACATTTTTCCATGAAATAAAATATAATTTTATTATGTTATATAATGTTATACAATAATATTGCAGATTAGGCTTTATTATATCATGAGTATTACACTATATTTTAATGTAAAGTAAGCTTAATTTTTTGTAGTTTTATTTTAAATGGTTATATCTTTTGAACACCAAGATATTTTTTATTGAATTTTTGAATATGTAACTGATGCTTGATTTTTCTAAAGATGGCATAATTTTTAAATTATGCCATCTTTAGAAAAATAAAGATAAATAAAAATGGGAGGGGGAAAAAGTTGCCCTGATCCCCTTTAAAAATTGATTTTCTCATCAGGACGTACACCAAATAATTTGTTCTTTTCATAATATTGTCTGTATAATAGTCCTGAACACTTTGTAATAAAAATTTTTTTAAGTAATCAAATTTTCAATCTAAACGACCTAGAATTGACTAGTGTACTTTGTACTTATTTCTTTATTTAAATTTAAAAAACCTCCTTTGCAAAATAAATAAATTCTTCAAATTTGTTATTGCTTGTTTGAAGTCAAATTATAAATTATTAGACAAACAAAAAAAAAAAAAATTCTTTTAAACACTGAACAATCAGAATCAAATAAGTAAATAATTTTGAAAGTTTTGTTTCAAGACAATCCAAGTTATTTAATATTTTGTTCAAATTGTTTCCATCCCAGCCTTTACTTTGATAGCCTTGGTGAATGACATTTATTGACTTTAGACAATCATAAAACCTTAGCCATATATCTAACAAACTTTTCACGCAGTAAAACAAAGCCAATTAACAAAAGAAGTTCAAGTGGAAAGACAATTTTGATGAATTTAAAAAACAAACAAAAAATCAATTTTGTCAAGTATTAATTATTCTGTTACAATGCGAATTTTTTTTTTTTTTTAGATTAAGTAGATTAAGGTGCCCCAAGAAGTCCTTACAGTCTTATCACAGAGCACCGCGGAAGAGCATTTAATAGGAAGTTCACGCCTCCTTCCCAACCGATGTCGCAAAACTTTCCCAAAGGTGGGGTTTGAACCACGGATCTTACGTTTCTGAAGCAAGTGCGGTACCAGTGCGCCACGGCTGCTGAATTCAACTTTTTAAAATAAAAAAACAACTTTATTAAAATTAGAAATAGTATAATATTTCTAATATATATATACTATATCTAATATATATTCCTATACTAATATATTATTATTATTAACCCGGTAAAAACTGGCTTGCGACAAGCTAGCTATACTTGTAACAATAAAAGCAGCAATTTAGCCACGAAGATCGCTAGCTACCCAGCGGACACAGACGTCTGTGAGACATCTGTGTCTATTGGGTGGGACGTCACAAATTCGTAGGACGTCCAGCGGACGATCTGTGTATGCTAGGTATATAAGCAAGCATCTAGCTATAGGTAATTGCTATATATTGCTATAGCGATAACTCGAAGTAATAAAGACAGCAATTCGGCCAAGATGATTGTTAGCTGTAAAAGCTTATCATTACAGTCTAAAAATAAAGTAAAAGTTTCTATCGTAGAATAGGATATGCGATATACGCTTATTAAGATATAATTTTCTATCTTCTAAGGTAGAAAATTATACTTTAAAATATGTTGAAAATGATGATTTGTCATACAAATAAATTGAGCCGTTTATTTTGAACGTGGAATAAGACACCTTTTAAAAAAAAATCAAGTTATTAATATTAATAACTTGATTTTTTTTTGAAAAGGTGTCTTATTCCACGTTCAAAATAAACGGCTCAATTTATTTGATTATAAAATTGATTATAATATGATTATAATATGATTTGATTATATAATAATATATATAGTAATATAATATGATTATAATATGATTATAAAATCGTTGTATTAATACAACGATTTTATAATCATTGTATTAATAACTTGATTTTTTTGAGGTGACTTATTCCACGTTCAAAATAAACGGCTCAATTTAGTTGTATGACTCAAATATTTTATTATAGTTGTATGACAAAAAAGTTGTATGATACAAAAATGAAGAGATACCATTACATGATAATGTAAAGGTACCTCTTCATTTTTGAAAATTTTATATATGTAATTCAACAATTTCAAATATAAGTATCAACACAATTGGTTTAAATTACTTCAGAAATGAAGAGATTCGGTTGCATCAACACAATTGGTTTAAATTATTTCACAAATGAAGAGATTCGGTTGCATCGTAATCATTATTATCAATAAACTGATTTTTTGAAAAGATGAGTTATGCCACTTTCAAATTAAACGGCTCAATTGCCTTAATATAATTATCAAAAATATTTTTGGTTATATTGCCACGACATAAAACCTGGTGGTTCTCTTAGATTCAATAATAAAAGCTAATGGTTCTTGGATTTTCTTACATCCGTGTTTTTAGAATTTACAAAAAAAGTTCTAGAATTCTATAAATATATTCAATGAAGCGTTCAGCTGTTTTTAGATTTTTGTGTCAAATATACTTATGCCATTAACATCAAAAAGAGGCTTTCTAATAGTTTTTAATAAGTTAATCCAAGTTTTACATTTTCTAAATTTTTGCTACCCTGATTTCATTTTCATTTAATTTCATTTTTAATTTACATAACGGTATCTCAAATACAATTGAAAACTGCCTAATTTTTTGAAATCCGTTTTGTAAATAATTTGAGAGAATTCAAATATTATATATGATTATACTTGAAAACAAAGATTGCATAGATAAGAAAGTTACAGGACGATTATGCTTAACGACCATTAGTAGTTTAAGACAGCAATTGTAAGAATTGATTATAGCGCGTCGTACACAGGTAATTTATTAATCGTTGTGCTTTACAAATGTAGAGCCACATATGTGAAAATTCGAAAAATTAGTGGATTCTATAAAAAATGTGCAAATAAAAAATGGATCGAAAAATCAGAAACAAAGCATGCTGACATTAAAAAGTTTTGACTAAATTACCCTACGCTACGCCTGCAAAGCTTAATTGAAGTAATGGGATTTTTTTAAGAAACTCTAACCTAATATAATAAATAATTCAAATGTTTTACGAATAAAATACAATAGCAGAGAAAAATCAAACAGAATATAATCAATTAAACATCGTTAAAAAAATTTATAAAGTTTTTCAGGGTATCGTTTATAATTAAAGTTTCAAAAGTATTAATTGATACAAAACCATTTTTAAAAGTACTAAAAACCAAATGATTTAATTTTTCTTATATAACTAAATCGTTTGTGTTCCTGTCTCAAACTAATGACAAGAAATTTAAACGATTTGAACTTCAACATAAAATTAAAAAAAAAAAAATAATTACAAAATCATTTTTTTTTTTGAAATTGTTAAACATTTTTTTTAATTAAAAATTTATATTTTTTCCAAAAAACATCGATTTGAAGGTTGCTTTAAATCTTTTATTTCCGAATGCATAACAAAAAGGATTGACTAGCGAGTTAATGTAACAAAACAAATATCCAAAATCCCATAACGGAGCTGTAACACAGTTACTACAAAATGGAGAAATAACGGCAAACACATTATAAGGAAACCAGGTGATTGCGTATGCAAGGATAATTAGAATTAATAACTTTTTTGCTCTGTCGTAGTTTTTATATAATTTTTTTGGCAAGACTTGACAAGTCTTACTTAACTCTTTATTATTTACAATTGAATCAACCTCAAGACAAGTATTTGTTTGAATAACAGAGACACAACAAACCGAAGTATCAGCTAAATCACCAAAATAGTTTGGTGTTTTAACTCTATCAACGGCACGTTTACGTTTATGCAGAAAAGTATATATTCTAATATACATAAAAATCATCATTAACAAAGGAATATAATAAGCAGATAATGCTGTAAAAACTGTCAAGAAAACACTGTCAGTAAGAAATTGAATATAACACTTATCCACGGGAACATCTTGTTTACCAACAATATATGGGTAAGATATTATCCAAGGTACCCAAAGAACAAACGACAAAAACCACACAAAAAGTATAACATACTTAAGACGTAAATTACTTCGCACAGATCTGTAAGCCAAAGGAATTCTAATCACAAGATATCTATCAACTGATATAACAAGTAAGTGGACTACACTTGCTTGACTGCACCAATAATCTGTTGATAGCCAAAAGTTACATGCAATTTTACCCAACGGCCAATATCCGTAGGCCAAATAAACTGTATAAAAATTTATAGAAACTGCACCTATCCAAGTGTCTGCTACTGCTAATGACAATATCAACCAATTTGAAGCAGTTCGAAGACTCTGATTTTTGACATAAGCAATAAAAACACAAATGTTTGCAGTTGTTGCAATAAAACTAATAAGTGTCAGTCCAAACACCAAAAAACCTAACTCGGTGTTACTAAACCGAGAATTTAATAATTTAGAATCGTCAGTTACATTTTTAACTAGCATTTTTAACATTGAAAACCAACATAAGTCTTATAGATAATTTATTATATATAACTCCGTGCTGGTAAAGTGAGAATTTAATAATTCCGAATCGTTACTAACATTGGAAACTAACATTGCTGTTCAAGACAAGTTTTATAGATTTTTTTTTGCAAAACCATATTACGAATAAAATAAACTATTTTATGTTTTCATAATCAAATTTAATTTATTTTAAAGAAATGTTTCTATTATTAAAATTTGAATACAGGTAAATATTTGAAAATGAAAAACTTTCTGTTGAAAACAGATCGCAAACAGAGCAAACATTTACACTACAGGTTCAATCAAAAACACCTGTTTAAATAATGGCACTCAAATTATATAGCAATAGAAAAAAACCTAATTGATCAGGGAAAATTCTATTTAAGTCACAATCTTGAATTAATTTTTTATCAGAATCTTTTAAAGGTTCTTGACAATAAAATTCAGCCTTGCGCAGCGGAATGAATCCGTGCTTGGAACTCTTCTGACTGCACTTGGTCAACAGTCAGCAAAGACATGCCCAATTGGTCCTCCTAAAAAAGATTAACTACATTTAAATAAAAAAAATAATTAAAAAAAGGAGAGCAAAAAAAAATCAACAACAAATAAATACGTGGGAAAACGGTTGCGCCATTTGTCGTAGAAATCGTTTGGAAACCTAAAATTTTACAAAATTCATTCAAAATAATAAACTTAAAATAAAATACAAATCGTCAGCCGAGAACCAAAAGGCCGTATGTCCATTTTTTTGTGTTTCCGAGAAAATCAAGGTTTAAAATTCAATTTATAGAGACTTTCTGCCAGAATATCCGATTAATATTTTAAATATTTTTAAAAGTTGTATCATTCTTGAGAATAGATTGGACACATTCCTCATTGGTTGTTGAATATTTATTTATAAATCATAAACAGAAAAAACACAAAACGTGGACATACGGGCGCTTGGTTCTCAGCTGACGATATGTTAAAAACAAGAAATAATTGTTTTAAACAAATAGTCTTACTTGAACAGCCTCGTCAATAGATAAATTACAATTACAAGGCTTTAGGTGTTCCTACAAATAAATTAAAAAAAAACATCAAATCAAAAATACCTAATAATCTTAGAATAAAAATGATTCAAACGGCTGAACAATAAAAAATAACTCTTTTTGCTGTCGGAAATATTGTTAATTTATTTTTGTAAAACAGCAAATATGAAAAAAAGAACTTATTAAAATTATCAAAAAAAGTTATATTAACAACATATGAAGGAGTAAATTTGTCAGACAACTAGTAATTAGAAATATTTGCAGTGTAACAAACAATGTATTGGTTGCGAATTTATACTCATAATTATAATCATAATTCATAATTATTCATATTTATACATGATCATTAATTATATCAAGTTTAATTTTGACGTGTAACAAGGAAACTTGTATAACCGTTTATTAAATTTGTAATTTAAAAAAAAATAAATAAAAAATACCAGTTTTAAAAACTAATTCAATTAAAACGCAACTTCTAAATATAATACATTATTTTATTTATTTAAGAGCCTCAACACAAAATAACAATAACCATCGACAGATTTTACTATCAATAATAATTAAATTATTATTTATTATTAATAATTTATTTTCAACTTGTTTCTCTGTGCAGCGACCTTGATCGTCAATGTTCGTGTTTCGTAGTTAAAGAGTTGAGAGAGGGTTGTAACCACAATAATGCAGCCTCCTCGACTGTAGTGGCAATCCCGACCTTGTGGCCCTCCCGGCCTTGAAGAGGTTAATGACATTAAAAAAAAAAATGATACTAATAACTGTTTTACTAACATTAATAACACAAATAAAACTTACTTGAATCCATTTTGGTAACTTCCCTTTTTTATCAGCTTTAGAAAAACGCTGAAAACAAAGTTGTAAAACAAGAGTTTTTTTTAAGTGAAAGAATAAAACAAACCAAATAATCACAATTATAAATTAAAAAAGCATAAACTTTTTTGACCGCTTAGCAACTGGCAATAAAAAAAATTCAACATCAAAACAAATATCAATATCAAAACCTAAGCCCAATATTTACAAATCCAAGCACCTATCCCACATGTCGTTTAATGGAAAGTATTTTAATATATTCAAAAGTTTATAAGAATACTGACTACGGGACAGGTTTTTTCCCCAGCATTTGTCCACCACTGATTATATTTTAAATTTTTTTACCATTATAAACAAGATCAAAATTGACTGATTTCAAATTTTAATAAAAAATATTTCAGCGCTCGGAAGATATGATCATATAAACAAATCTTACGTAATACACCTTTTAATAATTTCGATATAAAATTTATGCGCAAGAAAAAATGGGAGTAAAAACTTAAACTAATATTTTTTAACAGTGATTTGTTTTAGATTTACAAAGCAAAATTAATATTTATCAAGCAATATTAATAAAACAGCCCCATTAGTATTTCATTTGATGTCTATTTAATGTGATAAATGCCAAATATATTGCTTTTTTTAAAGAAATATTTTACTGAATGGAAACAAAAAGTTTTAAGGCTCTAGCAGAATTTCGAGTGAAATATCTTTTAAAAATAAGTTTCTCACTATATATATATATATATATATATATATATATATATATATATATATATATATATATATATATATATATATAAATAGTGACTGATGACGCTGACCACAATAGGTCAGCGAAATATCGTTAATATATTTTTACATCAAAATATATTTAAAAATAGTTATATGCTGCTCTTTTTTTTAAATCAATTTACACACACACACACACACACACACACACATATATATATATATATATATATATATATATATATATATATATATATATATATATATATATATATATATATATATATATATATATATATATATATATATATATATATTTTTAGCTAAGTGCTAAAGGTCATTTGGGAGGTCATGCCGACCTCATTTGGGATTAGGAAAAATGAGGTCGGCAATATTCCGACCTCATTTTTCCTAATTCTGAGGGCTGATTTATTTTTGAATTCAGGATCTCCAGAACAGTGGCTTTTAAATCCTTCGAAAAACGAAAACAAAATAAAAAAGATTTTTTATTTTGTTTTTTTGGCTTCAGTGATCATCCAGGTAATTTTTTAAAAATCCGGAAAATATAGTTTATGTAAAATATCCGGAAAAATCCGGAACATATTTTCCCTTACTAATCTCCTAATTTTGCTCTCAGCTGGTAGGTTTCAGAATTTTTATAGACATTTTTGACATTTTTTTTATGGCTGATCACTGAAAACGAAAAGTGTATATACATTAAAACAAATATTATATAAACTTGAATGTATGAGAAAACATTTTGGATATCCGGAATTCCGGAAATATCCGGAAAAAGATATTCCCTGTGGCTTTTAAATCCTGAAAAAACGAGGCTTTTACAGGTGCTTTTAAATCCTGAAAAACGAGGTTTTTACAGTGGCTTTTAAATCGAGGTAGGAAGAATAAGTAAAGTCATTTTTTCTAAAATTATGAATTAAAAAATAAACTACAGTTGAATCAATGGCAAAGCACCCAATTTGTTATAGATTGGTTTAAAAAAATCAAAAATGAACACCTTTGGGAATTTCTAATTTTTGACATAAATGATTTTTAACCATCTATTAGTGAAAACACTCTTACTAATGCATTCAGTTTCACTGAACAACATGTTATTATAAATGATGACGATAAAAAATTGATATATAATGCAAGAAAATCGATTTTTGAAAACGATGAAGCCTGGATAATGAAAAGAAGCAGATTATTTGATGCTACAATGGAAGCATTTGATAGAGTTGAAGTTTGCGAGCATGTAAAAGTTTTGCGAGTTGGTATTTTTATATGTTTCTAGCTCTCTCAACATTACGATGAAAATAATTTTGGCTTGTATCATGACGACAGGCTTGCTCTTTTTGAAAACAAAAGCAGCCAAAAATCAAAAAGCATTTTAAGCATATTTTTAAAAGTTACAACTGACTTGTAACATTAAACCTGATTAACTGTTCTTATCAACCATATTGTAAACCTAATAACCAACTTATGTATGTTTATTATCATTCAAACCATCCACCTAATATAATAAAAAAAATCCCTCGCACTATTGAGTTAAGATTATTTAATTTAATTTTATTTAATAATTCCATTTTTCAGTATGAAGAGGCTTTACGTAAATCAGGATACAATTCAAAACTCACCTACCAACCACAAATAAACAAAAATCAAAAAAGACATTACACACATAAAATTATATGGTACAACCCCCGTTTAGCAAAAATGTTGAAACTAAAATTGGAAATTGATTTTTAGTTTTAATTGACCAACACTTTCCAGTAGGACACAGGCTTTATAAATTTTTTGATCGAAACTATATTAAAGTTAGCTATAGTTGCATGTCTTATGTCAAGTCTTTATTAAATGCACATAACAACAAAATTTTACAACGCGATAAAAATATAACATCAAAAAAATCCAACTGCATAGACAAAAAATTTGTGCGTTAGATAACCAATGCGTTTCTAACAATGTCGTATACCAAGCCACTGTAAGTTCTGGAGATCCTGAATTCAAAAAAAAAAGTTTATTTCGGTAAAAGTGAAGCCACATTAAGATATGCCAACCATCTTAAAACTTTCAATGCACCCAAATAGAAAAATGACACTAAACTTTCTATAGAAATATGGAAGCTAAAATCAAAAAATATAAAAACTGTGATTACATGGAAGATAACAGCACGATGTAAGCCCTACAATCAAATATCAAAAGTTTTTAATCTTTTGATATGAAATAATATCAAAGTGCCGGAATTCGAAGAAATTTTTATTATCCTTATTCGACACCGGGGACTATACCCTTTAATGTCTTTTTGTTTTATTTTGTTTTTGTAATGTCAGAACTCATTCCACCATAATTTTAATTTGTAATTTTTAAACGGTTTTTAAGTGACGAAATACACAATGGCTGATGACTTCGGCCCAACATAGATTCTTTTAGTGACTCAGTACTTTCATGGGGAATCTTGCAAGCCTTCTTCTCCACAGCCGTCCACATAAAAAAGTCTAATGGGTTCAGATCTGGGCTAGATGGGGGCCACTTTAATTTGTCCCAGTACTGGCTCATGTTTTCACTGAGAAAATTTTGTGTTGATGTTGAAGTAAAAATTTTGTGTTTGTGTTGAAGTATGAGCTGGTGCCCCATCCTGCTGAAACTCATACTGACCATCTGGATAGTTTCTGTTTAACCAGGGAATGACCTTCTCTTGCAGGAGGTGGATATACTTATCACTGCCAATTTTTTGACCTTTTTTCACAAAAACTGGTGGACACTTTTCCATCACTTGCTATCATGCCAAGTACCATCACAGAAGCTGTTTTTTTTGATGAAAATGAATACGTAATATTCTCAGGGACTTCCTTTACTGTTTTGGCAGTACTAAGGTACCTTGTGTTACGACGATTAGTAACTCTTTCCACAGTGAAAAGTTTTACATCAGAGAAGATTGTCACACACCCAGGGTAAGATTTTTGCCAGTTTAACAATTTTTTGCATCGCTCTTTCCTACTTTCTTCCTGTTTATTAGTGATAAGATGTTTAGTTACAACAGCTTTAGAATTAAGGTTCAAATCTTTCATAACTTTTTGCATTGTGGAGTTGGCAATATTGGCTTCCCTTGCCAACTGGCGGATAGAGCGCAATAGATTTCTTGAATTTTCTTTTGACAGACCTTAAAAGCTGATGTGATCGTTTGACAGGTTTTGGCTTATTAAAACGTCATTTGATATCTCCTGTTTCATCAAAAAGTTTTCTTACTCAAAAAATTGCTGTTCTAGAGCAGTTTAAAGCCTTTCTTATATCTGATGTAGTCTTATCCAATTGCAACATTTGCAGAATGCTTCGTCTTTTTGTTTCTTGCAGATCCGTTTTAATTAAATTTTTTTAATTTTTACGTTTTTTTTATTTCTGTGTTAATATCATTGGGTATAAAGATCCACAGATATCTACAAGCATGGATAGAGCCTTAAATTTGAGCGTAAAGCAGTTGCGTGGTCACCCAGTATATAAAATATGTATAAAATATATAATATATAATATATAATATATATATATATATATATATATATATATATATATATATATATATATATATATATATATATATATATATATATATATATGTATATATTTATATATAATATACATATATATGAAATATGTATATATAAAATATATAAATATAATATATATATATATATATATATATATATATATATATATATATATATATATATATATATCTTATACTGCTGAGTTAGGTGAGCATGATGATGTCATACTCACCAAACGTCAAATAGCCTGCTGCCGGGGGCTTCAGTACATACATCGACTGACAAATAGCCTGACTGAATTAGGAAAAATGAGGTCGGCAATAAATTGCCATCCTCATTTTTTACTAATTCCGAGTTCAAACTGTTTAAGGTTGGCATTAGGTTGGAAGAAAAAAATTTGATACAAAATGGTTACCGTAAAACATAGAAACAAGGTCGGCAGTTAGGTCAGCATTGCCGAATACCGACCCTAATTCTGAGAATATATATATATATATATATATATATATATATATATATATATATATATATATATATATATATATATATATATAAAGTAGTGGAAAATCACTTAGCAACAATTTTTTTCATTTAACACTGTGTTTCATCAATAAAACTCATCAGAAATGAATAATCAAATTAAAAAAACTTTAATTGATACCAAAATTTTAAATTACAGGAAGTCGCAAATGTCATAACTACTGTAAATTTTCACACATTTGTGGAATCTGACACTATTATAGAAAGAATTCTTTAAAA